TCCAGTCTGTAGGTTATATAACTAAAGAAACCAAACCCATTGCTGTCGAGTTGATTCTGACTCATAGCAACCTTATAGGACAGAGGAGAACTGCCCATAGGGTATACAAGGAATGGCTAGTAGATTTGAACTGCCAACCTTTTGGTTAACAGCCTAACATTTAACCACTGCACCACCAGGGCTCCATGTATATAGAATTCTGTGCATCAGGAGTTCGAGCAGGTCTCAGTGGGGATGGTTTGTCACTATTCCATGTAGCGTTGGCTGGATTTGCTCATGTGGCCATATTTTGAGCTGGGGGATCAAAGATAACCTCTATCACATGTCTAGCTTTTCAGTTGGGATAGCTAGAATGTTGGGGCCCATCTCTTTATGGTCTTTCAGCCTTCAGGGCCTCTATCCTCTCATGGTCTTATAGTTCTCCAAGGTCTCACTCTCCTTGTGGCCTCTCTATCAGGATAGCTGAACTTCTTTATGGAAGCTCAGGGATCAAGAATGAAAATAGGTATTACAAGGTCTCTTAAGTCCTGGATTTGGAAGACCCAAAATGTCACTCTGCTACATTCTATTGGTTCATACAAATCACAAGAACGACCTAGATTCAAGAGATAGGGAAACATTCCACTTCTTAATAAGAATAGTAAAATAAAATTACAAAGAATCATGAGAGAAATTATTACAGTCAGTCTTGAAAACAATCCACAATGTAGACACAGACATAGATAGAGTGATAAAACAAATGTCAAATAAATATTTGGCAAAATATTGATAATTAGTGAAAATGGATGTGGGATAAATAGATGCTCATTGTATTATTCCTGGAAATTTTCTGTAGGTTTAAAATATATTAAATAGAAATGGGAGGATGTAACAACCCACTCACAGGCTCTTCTCCATGCACCACCACCAAGTGTTCACAAGAGATAGATTGGGGCATAGCAGGGGGCCAGAAAGAGCAGGAGGCCAGAGAGAGCCTGAAGCCTGACTGGAGGAGGGAAATAGTCACCACCATGGGAAAAACAAAAGGCCCTACCTCAACCCTTCTCTCATAAGACTCAAAAATCATAAACCGCTAGAGAAGGGGCAACAAACTCTGTCACTCCAAGAGTACAGGTCATAAGACTCTCTACAGCTGGAAAAAGAGCAAAAGAAAAACTTCCCTATGCCTGGAGAGGGGCAGGATACCATCCTGGGCCCAGGCACATATGCCAATACCATTTTAGATCTTTTATTAATTGAGAAAGGTAAAAAAAACTCTCCCATACAAGGCCTATTAAATATAATACAGAGTTTGGCTGCCACATAGATAAGGGGCATGATAAAGAGAAAAATTAAAGGTGGCCAGAAAAAAGGTGGCCCACAAGTCTGTCCGTTTGTTGTACTGTGGTGGCTTGTGTGTTGCTGTGATGCTGGAAGCTATGCCACTTGTATTTCAAATGCGAGAAGGGTCAGCCATGGTGGACAGGTTTCAGCTGAGCTTCCAGACTAACACAGACTAGGAAAAAGTACCCGGCGATCTACTTCTGAAAAAATTAGCCAGTGAAAATCTTATGATTAGCAGCAGAACACTGTCTGATATAGTGCCAGAAGATAAGCCCCTCAGGCTGGAAGACACTCAAAATATGACTGAGGAAGAGCTGTCTCCTCAAAGAAGAGTCAACCTTAATGACATGGATGGAGTCAAGCTTTCAGGACCTGCATTTGTTGATGTGGCACAACTCAAAATGAGAAGGAACAGCTGCAAACATCCGTTAATAATAGAAATGTGCAGTGTACGAAGTATGAACCTAGGAAAATCATAAAGTCAAAAATGAAATGGAACGCATAAACTTTGATATACTAGGCATTAGTGAGCTGAAATGAACTGGTATGGGCCATTTTGAATCAAACAATCATATGGTCTACTATGCCAGAAATGACAAATTGAAGAGGAATGCCACCGTATTCATCACCAAAAAGAACATTTCAACACTGAGGGAACGAATTACTGGGCTGAAGGCTGGGGACTATGGTCTTGGGGGACATCTAGCTCAGCTGGCATAACATCGTTTATAAAGAATATGTTCAGCATCCTATTTTGGCATCTAAGATGCTCCACTGGTCCCACTCCGTCTTCAGCAAGAGAGAATGAAGAAAATCAAATACACAAGGGACAGGTTAGTCCAAAGGACTAAAGGACCACAACTACCACAGTCTCCACCAGACTGAGTCCAACACAGCTAGATGGTGCCTGGCTACCACCACCGACTACTCTGACAGGGATCACAATAGAGGGTCCCAGAAAGAGCTGGAGAAACATGAAGAACAAAATTCAAACTCACAAAAAAAGACCAGACTTACTGGTCTGACATAGACTGGAGAAATCCTGAGAGTATGGCCCCTGGATACCCTTTTAACTCAGAACTGAAGTCACTCTTGAGGTTCAGCCTTCTGCCAAAGATTAGACAGGCTCATAAAACAAACAATAATACACATAGCTCAACCATGTATACTAGACTAAATGGGCACACCAGCCCAGGGGCAAGGACGAGAAGGCAGGAGGGGACAAAAGCTGGACAAATGGAAATGGGGAACCCAAGGTCGAGAAGGGGATAGTGATGACATGTCAAGTGTTGGCAATCGATGTCACAAAACAACATGTGCATTAACTGTTTAATGAGAAACTAATTTGCTCTGTAAATCTTCATCTAAAGCACAAACAAAATTTCAAAATCTATCCTGAAGTATGTAACTCTGTCAATGGTAGAATAGTATTCATATGCCCACAAGGAAGACCCTCATTAACAACCTGTTTAATGCAGATGACACAACCTTGCTTGCTGAAAGTGAACAGGACTTGAAGCACTTACTCAGGAAGATCAAAGACCACACAGCCTTCGGTAAGGATTACACGTTAACATAGAGAAAACAAAAATCCTCACAACTAGACCGATAAACAACATCATGAAAAATGGAGAAAAGATTGACGTTATCAAGGATTTCATTTTACTTGGATCCACAATCAACACCCACAGAAGCAGCAGACAAGAAATCAAACAATGCATTTCATTGGACAAATCTGCTGCCAAGACCTCTTTAAAGTGTTGAAAAGCAAAGATGTCACCTTGAAGACTAAGGTGACCTGACCCAAGCCATAGTGTTTTCAATCGCCTCATATGCATGTGAAAGCTGGATGATGAATAAGGAAGATTAAAGAAGAATTGATGCCTTTGAATTGTGGTGTTGGTGAAGAATATTGAATATATCATGGACTGCCAAAGGACAAACTAAAATGTCTTGGAAGAAGTACAACCAGAATGCTTCTTAAAAGCATGGATGGTGAGACTATGTCTCACATATTTTGGACATGTTATCAAGAGAGATCAATCCCTAAAGAAGGACATCATGCTTGGTAAAGTAGAGGGTCATCGAAAAAGAGGAAGACCCTCAACGAGATGGACTGACACAGTGGCTATAA